AATATGTGGAAGTACTAGATAAAATATAACCATTTAAAAGAATACAGAGGGATCCCTGGGTGGTGCAGCGGTTTGGCGCCTGCCTTTGGCCCAGGGCGCGATCCTGGAGACCCGGGATCGAATCCCACGTCGGGCTCCCGGTGCATGGAGCCAGCTTCTCCCTCTGCCTATGTCTCTGCCTCTCTCTCTCTCTCTCTCTCTCTCTGTGACTATCATAAAAAAAAAAAAAAGAATACAGAGCCAAGGTCAAGAACAAGAAGGAGAGACCTCCAGCTTGCACGGGGTGCAGGAGATGGAATTGAAATGCCCATGGAGGGGTTGGGACTGAGGTTCTAATGCCCAATAGGGACAAGCACTGAAGACCTTGCCTGGTGAGTTCATACAAGGAGGCTCCTACATGAAGCCAGGAGCCCTCCAGGGGTTGTCTCATCCATGAACAGAGGTGAGAACTAAACCCCACTGACTGTCCTTGGGGTAGTGTCCCCAGATATGGAGTTCAATTTTCTCCCAAACTGTATAGTTAAGAAACCTTAAGCTAAGCAATGAAATTAAAAACTGCCCCAGGCTGTCTCAAATGAATAAATAAAATCTTTTCAAAAAAGGGTAATGGGGGCACCTGGATGGCTCAGATGGTTAAGCACCTGCCTTCAGCTCAGTCCGTGATCTCTGGGTCCTGGGATCAAACCCCATGTCTGCTCTCGGCTTGGCAGGAGTCTGCTTCTACCTTCTCCTGCTGCCTCTCCCCCTGCTCATGCTTTCTCTCTCTCTGTATCTCTCTGTCTCAAATGAAAAAAAAAATCTTGGAAAAAAAACAAACAAACTGGCTCAGAATCAGGCCCTTGTAGAGGCAGATGGGGTACAGCTCTAAAGGGAACTCCACATCCCTGGTGATGGGTGGATTCTCCAGGATCATGGCTTCATTCAAAGATGGGCTCACAGTTGACAATCACAGAGCACACCCAGAATTGTCATCATCACAGAAAGAGCAGAGATAAAATACCAGGGCAAGATTGGATGTTGCAGCAATTCCAAAGAGACTAGAAAAGAAGGATGTTTAAATGAGAAAGAGACGAAGGACTGGATAGAACTCACAACACAAGGATGGAGTGGGAGGAAAAAGTGTATGTGGTTTTGAAAAAGAAGTAAATGGAAGTCCAGGAAATGGGCAATGGAGTCACTGAGGTATCATTTTAGGGCAGCAGCAGAGTGGGGAGGCTCATCAGAATGCTGAAACAGCCAAGTTTTGGTTAGGAGACCACCCCCCAAGGCTCTATATCCTCATTTGAAAAACGGCAGCATAATACCAACCTCCACGCGTTATGAGAAGATCAGAGTGGGTCCGTTTCTGACACTGCCGGAAAAGTGTGGGTCGGGTCATTCATTCTAACCAGTTGGCTTCAAGTTGTCAGTCCCAGGAGGGATTTCAGCCATTGCACCCTTCCCCGCCCCCAAGACACATCTGCAGAGTACCTGGAGGCATTCCAGAGTGATGTCACTTAACAGGGCTGATGGGGCTCTAGCCTTTGGGGTGTGGTGCCTCTTCCACCTAGAGGTACCTGCTCCTCTAGACTGTGGGTCCAATGGGTCTGACCACAGAGGGAGGTGGTCCAGCTCAACAAGCAGGGGACATCTGACTTCCTGACGCTTATCACACAAAAGCAGAGGTAACATTGTAGCCCACAGCCCCTCTCCAGGCCATGAAGTGTCCTGCAGGTGTTTCTGGGGTGAGAGAGTCCAGCAGGACTTGTGGGTATTGCCAGGCTGGCCTGGGGCATGTGGCTTTGGCCTGTTTGGGCTGGGGTCTGAATCCTGGCTTGTCACTTGCTGTGCCACACCGGCAAGTTGCTTCCTCTCCAGCCTTGGTTTTCTCATTTATGAAGTGCAGATAAGAATTCCTTTCTCTTGGGCCAGTTACAGGGCTCATTTGAGCAAATGTGGGGAGAGTGTCTGGCATCATGCCTGGTACACAGGTGATGCTCAGTATCACCTTGGCTGTTCTATGCTCTCCCCTTTCCTTTCTTCAAAGGAGAGCTTTGTAGCAAGTCAGCCCACAAATTCTGCCCATAGAAAATGCAGAGGAGGTCTGCCTCCTGGGGCTGGGCATGGTTTAGGGGGCATATTTTTTTTAAGATTTTATTTATTTATTCATGAAAGACACACAGAGAGAGGCAGAGACACAGGCAGAGAGAGAAGCAGGCTCCATGCAGGGAGCCTGACATGAGACTTGATCCCGGGTCTCCAGGATCACACCCTGGGCAAAAGGCAGGCGCCAAACTGCTGAGCCACACAGGGATCCCAAGGGGGCATATTTTTATAGGGGCAGGGTAACAAGTGACAAAGGCATCTCCTAATCACTGTGACCTTCACATGATGTCACTCATTCCCTGGCCCTCAGTTTCCTCATTCCCTGGGCATCTTCTTGGAACCTCTGCAACATCTGCTCCTCTTTTTTTTTTTTAAATTTTATTTATTTATTCATGAAGGACACAGAGAGAGAGGCAGAGACGCAGGCAGAGGGAGAAGCAGGGCCCGATGTGGGGCTCGATCCCAGGACTCCAGGATCATGCCCGAGCCAAAGGCAGATGCTCAACCGCTGAGCCACCCAGGTGTCTGCTCCTCTTTTCCTCACCAAGAGAACCCAATTTTGTTTGGGGCATCAATATGGCCAGCTTCTCCTGTAGATAGGAGCAGCCACATGACATGGTTCTGGCCCAGAAGATGGAGGTGCAAGTTCTGGTAGGGTGAGGGTATCTCTCCCTGAACACGAAGGCAAGGCTCACTTGAAAAAAATCCTCTCCACCCTCAACCTTGCCTGTCCTTATGCCTGAACAGCAGACATGAGGCCTGGAGGTGGTGCAGCCATCCTGTAACTGTGTGTCAACAAAAAAAGGTAAAATGCAAAGAAAGAAAGAACACAAGCTGTAGGGGCAGGACAACCTTACTCTTTTCCACTTTTTGACTGGGTGGCTTTGGGTATGTCACTTCAGTTTTCAGAGCCTCACTCCCCACAGCCTGTAAAATGGGGATAACACCTCTACCTTGCACAATTCTTGTGAGGATTAAATAGTGCCATGGTGCAATCCACCTTTTCTACTGTAAAGGGCTACCCTGATGTTCATGGTGGCTCTTACATCATGCTGTAGAGGACAGTTACTTTAGGGTAAAACAAAAGAAGAGACCCTTTATTTCTCCTCTTGGAGAAAGTTCCAAGGCTGGACACGGGCCCCAAGCCAACCAGCCCTACTTTTGAGCCGATCAGCTATGCAAACAGGAAGTGCCTATCCAAACATTTGGAGCTGCAGGAGGCTGGCCCAGAGTGGGTCTCCTCATGGAGGTCTCTCTCCACATTGTCCCTTCTTATCCCCCAGCTGTGAGCACCTCAGAATTAAGGAGGAAGTCCCTCCTCTAAGGGGCTAGACTCAAAGCCTCCCCTTCTGATTGCCCTGCCCACCAGTCTGGGCCAGACCACGTTCCTTCCTGGCTGGAGGATGACTACAGCCCCTCCACTGTCTCTTGCTCTTCCCCCTCTTCCCATCTTTTTGTCACAACTGTAGCCAGGGCAAGTTTCTTTGAAATGCAAATCTGTTCCTGTCACCCTCTTGCTGAAGGCTTCCATGCTCTTTTTTTTTTTTAAGACTTTATTTATTCATGAGACACACACACACACACACACACACAGAGAGAGAGAGAGAGAGAGAGAGAGGGAGAGGGAGAGGCAGAGACACGGGCAGAGGGAGAAGCAGGCTCCACGCAAGGAGCCTGATGTGGGACTCCATCCTGGGACTCCAGGATCACCCCCGGGGCTGCAGGCAGCACTAAACCGCTGCGCCACCGGGGCTGCCCTCCATGCTCTCTTTGAGGGGAAGATTGAAGTCCCTGACACAACCTTCCAGGCCCTGGATGGCCTGGCCTCTGCTTGCCTCTCTAGTTCTCCTCCAGCCAGTCTGGCCTTCTTTAGTTTCTGGAACATGCTGAGGTGCCTTCTGTCTCAAGGCTTTGCCCCTAGTGTTCCCATTTTTCTAGAACACTCTCGCCTTTTCCTTTCCTCTTCTCCCTGTCCCATCTTGCCAAGTAATATATCCTATTCTCAGCTCTCAGCTCAAGTATCACTTCAGGTGCTGGCTGAAGCAAGCATGACAAAGGTCCTGCTCTTGCCCCACAGCATTCATCCAGCCTGCTGCCATACAGCTGGTCCCAGGATGATCTCATATAGCTTAGTAGTGGCTACTCCCAGCAGAGATTTCAGGTTGCCTGGTTCCCAGTCCCATCCCTGCTACCTGGCATAGCCTCTGGATGGAGGTGATGCCCAGTAAATGTAGGTGACAGGCATGCAGGCATGCCTTGCGCTTCCAAATAGAGAGGGAGCTGTTTACAGAGCACCTACTGTGTGCCAGACAGGACCTCACTGCCTCTTCACAACCGTTCTGGCAGGCAGGGACTCCAGTCTGTGCTCTACAAAAGGGGAAATAGGAGCTCCGAGAGGGGCCGTGACTTGCCCCCAAGGTCACACATCTGGTAGAGGCCCTGCTAGGACTGGAGACTTGGTCCCACGCCCTGCTTCCTGCCCCGTTGGCGCTATCACCAGGGACCAGTGTACATCTGCTTCCCCATCTGTAGAATGGGGATGAGGCGGTACCCACCCCACAGCGAGGACTCAGTAGGCCACTCAAGGGCTTAGCTCAGAGCCTGGCACACCTTAAATGCTCAGCAACTGTAAGCTATCATCATCATCATCACTGTGTCGGTCAAAGAATAAATATATCTTCTTGCGACCCACGAAGGGGCAAGTGGAAAGCCCTTGTGGGGGAACAGGCACATGAACGGATGGGTGGGTGGAGAGCAAGTGAATGAGGGGGTGCATGGCTGAAGAATCAGGAAGAGCGGAGTGAGTGGGGAACACGAGAACGAGCGCGTGTGCTGGGAGGACGCACACCTGAGGTCTGGGAGACCCGGAGCCACTTGCGGCCCTGCCCCCCCTGCCCCCCGCCGCCCCCGCTCACCTGTATCGCCGCAGCTCGCCCTCCAGCCGCCGCACCCAGCGCTGCAGGCCCGGCACCTGTCGCGCCAGCACCTCGAGCTCGCGCACGCGGCCCAAGCTGCGCCGCACCGCCTCCCGGGCCTCCTCCGCGCGCCGCCGCACCTCGGCCTGGCCCTGCCGCAGCCTTCGCGCGCGGGCCTCGGCCACCGCCAGGGCGCCCCGCGCCTGCCGCAGCTCCCGCGCCGCCGCCTCGGGCCCGCCGCGCCCCGCCTCCAGCGCGCCCGCCTGGCTCTTCCAGAGGCCGACCTGCGGGGACAGCGCCGCAGGGGCCGCGGTGAGCGCCTCGCACGCCCCCGGGCCCGCGCCCCCGGACCACCCACGGTGCACGTCTACTGCGCGCACTGGCTCCCAGGCTTGTCCCAACTCCTTTAGTCCTCGCGCCAAGCCAGATGAGGCGGGAGCTCTGATTACACCCCCTTTTCCTAGGTGAGGGAAACTGAGCCACAAGGCCTATATTCTCAGCTCTGCGTGGTACCAGAAATCCCGGGGCTTCACGACTCCTCTGCTCGTCTCCTGCATTGGTAGCCCTCAACCTTCTGGGCTCCTCCAATCCCTAAACTCGAGGATCAATCTAAGTGTCTCAAAAAGGCGTCTTTGGGCCTCCCCAGGGTCTAGTCACTAGACTGTTCTCAAGGGTGGGGTGTTTCTCTCGTTTACTGCTGTGTCCCCGACGCCTAAACCAGGCCTGGCACACAGTAGGTGCTCAGTAAATACCTGGAGAATGAATGATCCTGGCCCATCTTACTCCGCACCGTGGGAGTCAGTTCCCACTCCCACCCTTTGCTTCCCTGTGTTCCTAGGCCGCCGGCCCTTGTCTGTCCATAGCCATGGCCCCTGAAAGCAGCACCTTGCCACCCTTGCGCACTCGGCAGCCTTCCCTCTGCCACTCAGGGCTGGTGACTGGGTAATGTGCCGAGTCCCACGAAGACAAGTCAGCTCCCTCCTGGCCTATGGTCCCTTGGGGCAGTAGCCGTTCTTTTCCTCCTCCCAGCCTCATCACCTTGGCACGCGGCTCAGCACAGTGCCGAAGTGTTTGTTGAGGGAATCCCAGACGCTTGGGCTGGGTCCATATCTCACACAGCGCTTTCTTCTCAACATCCCAGAGGTGTGGCCCCCACCGGTGTTCGGTGGCCCTCGACTGCCTGATGAACAGTGACACTACCTATTTAGCACCTGGCCCTGGCCCTGACGAGGCCTATAAATATTTGCTAAAATGACCCAATGAGTTGCCAGTCTACCCCATTAGGCAGGAGGCTCTTTAAGAGTAGGGACAGGGCCTATGTCACCCCTGACCTTCTAACCCACACTCCACCCCCCCTCCCCCCCTAGCCTGGCACCAGAGAGCTCCAGATGCCTGCTGAGCGACTGAATGCGCCAGGCGGCCCAGGTTTCCTGGGAGAGTTCAAGTACTGGGTTAGCGGAGGCCGGAGGAGCTAGTGAGGGCGGGGGACGGCGCGGGACGGCGCGGGATGGCGATCCGGGTGGGACCGGGTTTCGGAGGTGGGCCGGTGGGGAGAGGGGGGGGGTCTGGAGCGGGCTCAGTGCAGTGGGGTGGGATGAGGCAGGGCGCAAGTGAGCCGAAGCGGGCTGGCGCGGCCCAGTCGGGGCTGCTCACACGCCCCCGCCGCTCCCAGCCCCGCCGCCCCGTCCCTCCGCGCGGGCGCGCACCTGCAGCGCTAGGCAGCGCGCGTCACTGCTCTGCAGCGCGGCACGCAGGTCCTCCACCAGCTCGCGCAGGCTGCTGTTCTCCTCCTCCAGCCGCGCCACGCGCTCGCCGTCCCGCCCGCCGTCGGGGCCGCCGTCGGGGCCGCCATCCGGGCCGGGCGTGCGGGGCGGCCGGCGGCGGCGGCGCGGGCGGCGCAGGCGGATCTGCGTCTCGATGTGCTCGCTGAGCGCGCCGCGGGGCAGCCGGGGGCCCTCGCGGGTCCCGAAGTAGCCGCAGAGGCGCGCGTGGAACTGGCGGAAGGTGAGCTCGGGCGGCTCCGCGCGCAGCGCCAGGCGCGCCTCCTCGGCGGCGTCCTCGTCCCCGGCGCCGGCCGCGTCCCCGGCGGTCGCCTCCGCGTGGTTCGTGTCTCGGGCGGCCGCATCCCCGGAGGGCTCCCCGGCGGCGGCGGCCCCGTCGGCGCGCAGCCCCAGCACGGCGCAGAGAGCGCGGAAGTCGGCGCGGGGCAGGCGGCCGGCGCCGCGGCAGTCCAGGTGGTGGAAGACCTCCTGCAGGTACTGGTCCAGGCCGGTGGCGAGCACCACGATCTCGTTCTCCACGCCGCGGTCCAGCCCGTAGTGGTGCGCCAGGGCGCTCAGCAGCCACTGCGTGCGCCGCGCGGGGCGGCGGTACGGGTCGCCCGCCGCGCCCTCCCCGCCGGCCTCCGGGCCCGGGCCGCTCGGCTCCATCGCCGCGCGCCGCTGCTCGGGTCCCTCCGCCCCGCCGCTTCCAGGGGCGGCCCCAGAGCTCCCGAAAGGAGGGGCTTAGCGGTCGCGGTCGGGTTGGGGCGGCGCAGAGGGCCGCGTCCGGGCGCTGTTTACGCGGGTCAGTTGGGAGGGAGTCGGGGTGGGGGCCCAGGTGCCTCTCTCGGCCCGTTTCTCCGGGTGCCCCCCGCCCCCCGCTCTGCGCCCCTCATCACTCCCGGGGCCTTCCTGGCGTCTCCATCTCCTTCCCCCTCCAGGCTCTGTCGGCTTCGACTCCCGACTCCCGCAGCTTCTGTCCACCCGCCTTGCGCTGAGAGTTGGCCCGGGGACGCGCGGGGCGCGGGCGCAGGAGGGGCAGCCGGGGAGGGACCGGACGGCGGCTGCCGGGTCCTGTTGCTGGGGGCGTGTCCCAAGCCCACGTGTCACTCACCGCCCCCACCTCCTGCAGGTGCGGGGAGGCCCCTCTGCGCTTAGGTCGGACGCCGAGCTCGCAGGCTCACAGGTCGCTGCACCGTAGATAGTGCAGAGGCCCACGCGGTGGTGACCAGAGCAGAGACACAGGGTTGGAGAAGTCAGAGGGCTGCTTGAGGGACCTCTCGCTGGTAAGAAGTCGGTCTGAAACAGACCCTTGCTCTCTAAGTTCTGTGTGTGTCTGGTGGGGCGTGGGGGGTGGGGGAGGCAGGGATAAAAAAGTGATGGTTTTACAGCCCTTACATGTGTGCCTGTGGCTGTGAGTTGGCCCCGTGACCTGGGTTCCTCCCTGAGCTGGGGCTATGCTAACGGGTTGTTTGGCCAACATTTTCTCTGGTGCCTTACAACACATTTCTGAAAGGTGAAAGAAAAAAACCACCTTCTCAGGGGAGACCTAGGCTGTCTTTCCTTTCTCTTTCACAAGAGAGATGTCATGCACCTGTTACCCGCTCTGGGACCCGTTATCTGGCCGTGTTGGAGCAAGAGGCAGACTATTCAACTGTCTTTGGCTGTCAGGTCAGAGCCAGAATCCAGCCTTCTCTATGATTCTAGAAATTTAAATGTTTGAAAAGGCAGTAAAAATCTGTTTCCTGTGCTGCAGTATCCCAGAATCAGCACTTTATTTGCAAATTTCTCCTCATTCTTGAAGATTTTGCCCAAGGGAAGGAGTTAGATGCTTCTCCCCAGCCATTTTGGACATTTTTTTTTTTTAGATTACAAAAGTAATAGCATCTTGACAAAAAGTTTTACATCAATTCTACTTCTTGGCTCCTACCTTAGACACATGCACAGGATATTCACTGCATCATTGTTTATGATATTGAGAAACTAGAGACAACCTGGTACTCATCAGTGCATCAGCCAGGATGAATCACCATGAAAGGATGAGTGAAAAAAGCAAGTTGCAGTGTAGTATGTACAATATTATGACTTCAGTAACAATAACAACAAAACCACACCGAACAGTATTAAATATTTTTATCATGACATGTGTATGTAACTGTGTAGAATAAAAATGGAATGGGGGTGCCTGGAGGGCTCAGTTGGATAAATGTCTGCCTTTGGCTCAGGTCATGATCTCAGGGTCCTGGGATTGAGCCCCGCATCAGGTTCCCTGCTCAGTGGGGAGCCTGCTTCTCCCTCTGCCTCCACCATCTTAAAAAAAGTTGGAAGGATTCAAAACCGATGCAGTGGTTATTTCGGAGGATCAAAGATGTTTAGCCTTTGCTGTAACATTTCCCTTTTTGACAAGGCAATCACTTTTTTCCTTCTTTTGCGGAAAGACACACTTTATTTACCATTTACATAGCATAAAATTCACCCACTGAAGGGTGTTAAGTAAATGCTTTTAGTACGTTTGTAGAATCTAGACCCATCACAATCTAACTTCAGAAAATTCTCATCATCCATTTCTCAAAAACCCTTGTACTCCTTAGCTCATTTTCGACTTCACCCTGCACCCCTAACCTCCCTCGCTAGGCAACCACCACTTTCTATTTCTATAGATTTGTCAATTCTGGACCTTTTGTATAAGTAGAATTCTACAGTATGTGACTGGCTCCTTTTGGAAAACGTTAACAGTAATGTTTGCAAGGCTCACCTACTCTGTAGCCTCAGTACTTTCTTCCTTTTTACCATGATGGTGATATTCCATCATGCGGCTCGATCTGTTCTGTTCATCAGTTATTTGTTTATCAGTTGATGGACATTTGGGTTGTTCCCACGTTTTGGCTGTTCCAAATAGCACTGTTGTGAATGTATATTCACGTGCAAGGTTTTTTTTAAAAAAGATTTATTTATTTATTCATGAGAGTCACACACAGAGAGAGAGAGAGAGAGAGGCAGAGACACAGGCCGAGGGAGAAGCAGGGTCCCTGCAGGGAGCCCCATGTGGGACTGGATCCCAGGACCACAGGAGCCAAAGGCAGACGCTCACCCGCTGAGCCACCCAGGTACCCCTCATGTGCAAGTTTTTGTGTGCACATGTTTTCATTTGTCTTGTGTGTTGACCCAGGAGTGGGACCGCTGCTTGGATGGTGGTTTTATGTTTAATTTTTGAACTGTTTTTTTTTTCACCATGGCTGCCCCATTTGCCCTTCTAGCGGCGGTGTTCTTGTTTGTTTCTTGACAGGGGAAGTAACACGGATGTCCTCCATCCTCCATCTCAGCTCCTGGGGCCCCATTCTTGCTCAGCAGGTCCCCACCGTCTTCCATCCTTGGCTCTCTTCACACCCCGTGTCCAGTCTGTCAGGCTGTCCAGGGCTCTGCCCTCACAGCACATCCTGCATCCATCCCACTCAGTGGCCCCATGCCACACGTACTGCCCAGAGCCAAGCCCCCAGCGGCTGTCACCTGTATGCTTCCAGCAGGCTCCCCCAAGGACTGCCTTTGGACTCCTACAGTGTGTTCTCCACAGCCAGAGGATCCCCTCCTCTGCTCAGGAACCCCCAATTCTTTCCCTCTCACAGGGACTCAGGGCCAAGTCCTCACCATGCCTCCAAGGTCAGCTCACCCCACTCCCAGCCCGCCCCCAGCGTCAGACCTCATCTCCTGCTGCCTTCTCCCCTGACCTCCTCCCTGTGCCTTCTAGCTCACCTCAGGCTATTTGGAGCTGCCTCTCCCAGACGTTCACAGCCCCCTCACCTCCAATGCCTTTGCTCCAACATCACGTCCTTAGCGAGGCTTCTGGTGACACTGGAAGCCCTCTGCCCCTCTGCCGGCTCTGTCTTCCCTGTGTGTGTGGTCTCCCTGTATTAAACTGTCACTCAACCATGAGGGCAGCGATATTTGTCTGTTCCCCTGGCACAGTGTCTGGCACACCGGAGGGAGACAGTCTCCAGCTTTCTTCTCAGATGCCTCCCTGGTTGCCCCTGGGAATGGTGTAGTGTGTTGCCTTCCACATATCTTCTTTGCCTGTCAGTGGTATGTAGACTTTTTGTTTGTATTTTGGCTCTTCCGCCACATTGCTGTTCATCTGTGGGGTCTGAGCTTTGTGAGGTCAGGAATCCGATGCCCCTCAGTCCCAGCAGGGGCCTGGTACCGCACAGGCGCTCATAACGTTGGTTCGTATGAACACACATTTGTAGATGTGAACTCACTGCAGCAAATGGGAAGCCTGCCTCCAGTTGGCATTGGTGGGATTCAGTGTCCTTGGATCCAGCGATGTTGGGGGTCAGTGAGACTCCCAACCTTGGCTGTTGATTGCCCCCCGCTGCCCCCCAGGCTGGACTGTAGAAGCTTCTAGGCCTGGGGCCCCATGGCTGTGGGTTTGCTGGGTACATTTCGAACGGCACTCTGGAATTGGGCTCTGGATGTCCCAGTTGCATCTATGCAGCTGAATCGGATTGGACTTCACGTTAGTGCTGAGAGCCGGCCGCGCAGCTCGCCTAGGCGCTCGCCCCTACCCCTGTCGCTGCAGCTGGGGGCTGCTTTGGGTGACGGATCCTTTGAACAGAAGTGTTCCTGGGCCAGTCAACATTGAAAAGAAAGCCTTGAAATATCTTGCCATGGAGCGTTGCCTGGGCCTCCGCCCCCCCCCCCCCGCAGCTCAGCAGGGGCCCGGAGAAGTCAGGGTTGATAATGGGGCGCTGCCAGGCCTGTCTGTCTGCTGGGCGGTGTTACCAGGCGCCTCTGAAATCATTCCGGTTGGACCCACAAGGTTTTTGTTGAAGGTTCGAAGTGAGCAAACTCAGAGGTCTCCTGTGCTCTTTTGTTCTGAGCTGGGGGGATGGGTGTGTGTCTGCGTGGGGGAGAGCTGAGGCCCCAGCAAAGAGATGATTTTCTAAAGTCAGTTCACTATTGTTTGAGCCATTTCAAAAAGTATATTGTTTAACATTGTCTTTAAACAGCCCAGAAAAAAATGCTAAAAAGCAAAAATCACCCCCAGAAGAGGGCGGGGGACTAGGGGGCAGGGGGAGGGTCTACAGATACTTCTGATGTATTTGTTTCCAGGCGTTTTCCATGCATTTGGGCATGAAAGGACTTCCCTGGGGTGGTTGTTACATGACTATACATCTGTCAAAGCACTTAAAAAGGACGAGTTTTACAGGATGTGAATTGTAGCTCATTAAACTTAACATAAAGAAACACGGTTGAAATGCTGTTGCTGGGATCTTTCTTTGCACATCAACCATACTTCCTAAACAGCTTGCCATCATTAATATGCCTTTGCAAATGTTCTTGAGCACCACTCGTGTTCCCTCCTACGACTGAGCTCTGAGGTGCTTCATTGTCCCCCAGGGATGCACATCAAGGTAGTTTGCAGTTTTTCTCCATTAAAACAACACCGTGAACTGTTGACTCTGTATCCCAAGTGATTTACTACTGCGCCAGGGAGTTTGAACATTTTATTCGCTCTTGATACTGTCAAACTGTTTTTCAGAAAGCTTTTGTCATTCTATGCAGCCCCTGGAGTGTCTGGGAATGTCTGTGAGTCCTCCTTTTTAGTGACAAAGCTTTTATATTTTCAGGAGACTTGTTTAGTAGATTTGGTTAGTGTTCAGACACCAATTTTA